GTCACTCTGCGCACCATGAGAGCAAGAACTAAAGCATTACGTGCTTTTGCTGACAGCTGTCTCCTCAGAGACTGTCACAGCGCTTGGCATATAGCAGGTGCTCAGGAAAAAGTCATTTCGTGAACAAGTGAGTGCGCAGACCTCACGCTGAGTCCCGAGTGCGTCATTTTCCAGCTGCGCACCTTTGAGAAATTTACAGCCGAACCGCATTTCCTCCCCCATAAATGGGGACGGTGATCGCACTTCATGGGGTAACTGTGAGGAGTTAATGAGATAGGTACAGGACAGGGCTCACTAAATGTGAGCAGTTATTTATATTATTTTTAATATTATCATTAATTGACCTCCCTACATTCAGCGCCTTCCCTTCCCAGGGAGGAGGCAGGTGAGTCCTCTGCACCAAGGGCCTGCAGCTGACTCCCCCGGGCCCACCCATGGTAAAGCCCCTCTCTCCCTCTGGTCTGGCCCCCAGATGCTGCCTGGCCCNTAAAGCCCCTCTCTCCCTCTGGTCTGGCCCCCAGGTGCTGCCTGGCCCACGACTGCTGCTACGAGAAGCTGAAGCAGCTGGGCTGCCAGCCCTTGCTGAGCAGCTACCAGTTCCGCATCTTCAATGGCACCGTGGTCTGTGAGTAGCCTCTCTGTGGGGAAATGTCTTTGAACCTGAGCCTTCCCTTAATGTCTGCCTCCTTGTGGACCCAAAGAACATTTAGGGAGTGAGATTTTTCCAAGTGCTTGGAGATGGTGAGCAGTAATTCTGGGAACCAGAGCTTCCTGGGAGTCCTTGCTTTGTCCCTCCTGGTTGCTCCTGCCCACAGCTGCGCCCAGGACCCTCTGGGAGCACGGAGCCGGCGTATGTAGTATGTGCTCAATAAATAGTTGTTGATTTGAGATTATGTTGGATTTTGCAGCTTCGCTTGGCAACTGTTGCTGCTGAGAACTTTCTCCTTATGGCTGTCATGTGCTAACGAAGCAGCTCAGCTGTCTTTCAGTTGAACAAATATTTGGTAAGGGTGATGGCATGCCAAGCATTGTGATAGGAGCCGCGGGGGACACCAAAGTAAATAGAAGGGGACGGGGCAGGGAACTCACATGTCATCGAGGCCATTCAAGGAGATGGGCAAAGGACAAGGGCGGGCAAGTACAGAGTATCCAGCACGTGGGGAGTGGCCCCGATTTCCTGGGGGATGTCCTGTGGCTACTGGGATGTGGACGTGTGTAGGGCAAGTTCAGTCTGAAGGGCAGCGCCCTTGAGAGCCCTGGGCCGTGGCCTCCTGTGAATGCGGGTCGTCCCAGCGCAGCTGTGGTTGACGTCCGCTGAGAGTGTGCGACTCCCCTCCTCCTTGGCCTGGGCAATAGCAGGAACCCCCGTCCTCCCCGTGCACGGTTATTCACAGCTGTGAGTGTGTCTTGAAGCCACAGCCCAGGACCCCAGGAGTGGAGGAGGCAGAGGAGAGTGACCTGGAACAGAGGCCGGAGCCCCAGGTGGTGGCAGGCAGAAATGTCCTCTGCTTGACACATGCTGAGTGGTGGCAGGAGGTGCAGGCAGAGGCTGGGAGCTGGACAGTCCCTGCTGAGTGACAGTGGCCCATTGCTCCTGAAACCTCATCAGGGCTCCCGGGGCCCAGAGCCTGCTCAGGGAATTAGCATGCAGGGACACTTCCTGGTCTCCACCAGGACATCAGCATCCCCTTCCTCAGCTGACCCGGCCAGTGAGCACCAGGCCGACACCTGCCGTCCTCACCCCACCTTGCCAAGACCCTGAATCCTGGAACAGGCCCAGACCTGGCTGATCTGGTTTCTAATCCTGGGGCTGCTGCTGATAGCTGCTGAGACCTTAAGGGAGACTCAGGCACATTCATTCACTTGCGCAGTAATGACCGAGCGCCCATGAAGTGCTCATCCAGCGCCAGCACTGTGCCAGGGGCAGGGGCACTGAACAAAGCAGCCTCGGGCCCTGCTCTCTTGGTGTTCTCTAGAGCAGAAGGCGCCCTTAGAGACCATCCTGACCCACCCTTCATTGTAGCAGCAGGGAGACTGAGGCCCAGAGAGGGGAAAGGCTTGATTCGCGTAACAGGTGAGATTAAAACACATGTGTCTTGAGCCTTCCAGTGCTCTGGAACATGCTGTCTGGCCTGAGTTGTCTGAGCCTCAGTCTCTTCATTGTAAAATAGGTAATAACAACAACTGCAGGTTACGAGCATCTGTGACAGCACCTGGAACCCCCATGACAAACCTTTGGGGTGGGTATTATCTCCCCATTATCGAGGAGGCCCCTGAGGCTCAGAGAGGCCAAGTGAGATGGCCAGGGTCACAGAGCCAGGGAAAGAAAAGTTGGGGTCCTCTGACCCCAGAGCTGGTTCTCCTGCCCTCCCCCCCCCC